AGAAAGCCAAACCTTTCCCATCTTCGAGTCTTTGGTTGCAAATGTTTTATTCATAATAACGGCAAAGATAACTTGGGAAAATTTGATGCCAAGTCGGACGAAGGGATTTTTCTTGGTTATTCTCTACGTAGCAAGGCCTATAGAGTTTTTAATAAACGCACTTTGACTATTGAGGAATCCCCTCATGTTGTATTTTCCGAAGATAATGCTCGCTTGGCGAGAAAGGCTATTTGTGATGATCTTGTAGATTCACTCGAAAGATTACACGTTGAAGACGATGAAGAAGACACGCCATTATACACCAACCCGCAACCACAACCTGAGGAAACACCTCAAGTGATGGTCGAAAATGAGGACCAAGCGGACGAAGAAGAACAAGAGGAAGCCCAGGAACAAGAGGAAACCGAGCTTCCCATCGCTTGGAGAACGCACAAGAACCATCCACTTGACTAGGTAATCGGCAGCATCAACCGCGGGGTAAGTACTCGTAATTCTCTTAGGGACACTGTAGGTCACATGGCTTTTGTTTCTCAAATTGAACCTACAACCATTTCCGAAGCAATAAACGATGAACATTGGACCTTGGCTATGCAAGAGGAGCTAAACCAATTCAATTGCAATGACGTTTGGGAATTGATGCCAAGGCCCGATGATCGTACGATTATTGGTACGAAATGGGTGTTCCGTAACAAACTTGATGAAAATGGAATAATCACTAGAAACAAAGCTAGGATCGTAGCTAAAGGCTACAATCAAGAAGAAGGCATTGATTTCGAAGAAACTTATGCACCCATAGCACGTTTAGAAGCTATTCGCTTACTTCTTGCTTTTGCTTCGTCTATGGATTTTAAACATTATCAAATGGATGTTAAGAGTGCCTTCCTCAATGGTTTTATTCAAGAGGAAGTGTATGTTGACCAGCCCCCGGGGTTTGAAGACTTTGAGTTTCCAGACCATGTCTTAAAACTCAAGAAAGCGCTCTACGGTCTTAAACAAGCACCCCGTGCTTGGTACGAACGGTTGAGTAAATTTCTTTTGGATAGTGGTTTCCAAAGGGGAAAGGTTGACACTACACTTTTTATCAAGAGTAAAAACAATAACATCCTTTTGGTTCAAGTTTATGTAGACGATATTATATTCGGTGCTACTAACGAGTCTTTGTGCAAGGAATTCTCAACGTTAATGACAAGCGAGTTCGAAATGTCGATGATGGGTGAGCTCACATTCTTTTTGGGACTCCAAGTCAAGCAAATGAAAGATGGAACGTTCATTTGTCAAACTAAATATTGCAAGGAGCTCCTAAAACAGTTTGAAATGGACACCGCCAAAGCCATGGCGACCCCGATGAGCACGTCCGACCATCTAGACAAAGACGAGAAAGGTAAGGAAGTAGAAGTCAAAAAGTATCGAGGTATGATCGGATCCCTTCTCTACCTTACCGCTAGTAGGCCGGATATCATGTTTAGCGTATGCCTTTGCGCAAGGTATCAATCATGTCCGAAGGAATCGCACATAACAGCGGTGAAACGGATCATGAAATACCTTGTCGGCACGGTTAACGTTGGAATGTGGTATCCAAAAGGCTCTTTGTGTCATCTCGTTGGTTATTCCGACTCGGATTTTTCCGGTTGCAAATTGGACCGTAAAAGTACGAGTGGGACTTGCCACTTACTTGGTAGCTCCTTAGTTTCATGGTTTAGCAAGAAACAAGTCAGTGTTGCGTTATCCACAACCGAAGCGGAATACGTTGCCGCCGGTAGTTGTTGTGCTCAAACTCTTTGGATGAAGCAACAACTTGTGGACTATGGCCTTAGTATCAGTCACGTTCCACTTCGGTGTGACAATACTAGCGCCATAAGCTTGACGAAGAATCCCGTTCTTCATTCAAGGACGAAACACATTGACATTAGGCACCATTTCATTAGAGATCATGTTCTCAAAGGTGATGTCGAAATTGAGTTTGTTGAAACACACAACCAATTAGCCGACATTTTCACAAAACCTTTAGAGAAAGAGTCGTTCTTCTGCATTCGTAGTGAACTCGGAATCCTTGACTCCACGATGATCTAATTTGTGCATTTTTTTTTCAATCTTTATCTTTGCTTGAACGTTTACTAACTTGAGCATCGGAGGGTTTTCTAACTCCTTTTTGCAGGGACGGTCGAAGTGCAGAATTCTGGAAATCAGGGGGAACCAGCGATGGGTGGGCTATACCATCGCTGGGAGGGAAGTCTTCACTTTTTCCAGAACCCCTCTTCCCATCGATGGGTACCTTCTCCCATCGATGGGTAATTGACTCTTTTTTTAAAAAAAAATCTCTTAACATTTTTTCCAGAAACACCTTACCCATCGATGGGTATCTCACCCCATCGCTGGGTGAAGGACTTTTGTCAAAAATAATTTTTTTCCAGAACCTCCCTACCCATCGATGGGAACCCACTCCCATCGCTGGGTGTTTGACACTATCTTTTTTAAAAATTTTTATCGGATTCCCAAAATCACCAACCCAGCGATTTCCCTATCTAGACGGCTCATTTCTTGAGTTCGGGTCGGAGGAAGAACTCACACGCTTCCTCAATCACTTTGCCAAACGCCCGATTTCTCCGCCCAGGGTGCTGCCCGAGCTATACCCTCAACAAAAGGGGTACCACGACCTCGACAATAAGCTTCAAGCGTCTGGTCTGTGGTCGTTCGTCTCCAGGAGCCGTCAGTCCTACAATCCCGCCTTTGTCCAGGCCTTCTACTCCAATCTCCGCCATGACGGGGACACCATACGCAGCAGCATCAATCTCTACGACATAGAGATTGATTTGCCTACCTGTGCTCGGGTCGCAGGGCTGCCCATCCGCGGTGACGACATCGCGACTTATGGTTGTTAGAATAAGTGCTTTTCACTAGAGGGGGGGGTGAATAGTGAGGCACGAGAATGTTTATAAATTTTCGCGGAATAGAAATCGCAGGGATAAAGTAAAGAGCGTAGAATAAAAAGGAGTAAAGGGAGCACACCAATATTTATACTGGTTCACCACAACGTGTGGCTAATCCAGTCTCCCGAGAGACTCTCTCGAGCTACACTACTTCCGTTAAGCTTACGGGTGCTTAACAAACCGTTACAACCTGAGAACTCGAGTCCCACGAGCCTCAATACACTTGCTCGGAGATACCGCACTCCAAGACTTCAACCCGAAGGAATATGCCCTTCCTTCGTACAAACAAGGGAACAAACCTCCCTTAAAGTATTCACAACACTTAACCACTCAAGTACAAAAACTCTCTTAAAGAGTAGAATATGAGTAAACTAATTTAGATAAAAAACACACTCAATTCCTCAAGAAATGGCTCTAAAAAGCTATGTAAAAAGCTTATGGAATGATGCAATGTAAAGCTATAAAATGTGTGAGGAATGGTTTTGGTTAAGCAAGAACCATGGGTTTTAGAAACTTAAAAACCATTTATGAAAACACTCATTTGATGCATGAAAAACATATTTTGTTTTGAGCCATGACGTAGAGAAATTGAATGAGCTTGTTACAATAAAAACCTAAGTATTTAGAATACGTCTTCAAAGCGCCAATGTCGCCATCTTTAGCAACGTCAATGCCGTTCTTGTGCTTTTTGTTTCTTCAAAGAACTTTTTCTATCTTTTCATTTTGTTCCATGTTCCCGACGGTTTGTCAATATCAAAACCTAAACGGAAACAAACATTGTCATTAGCAAAATGTCAAAGTGAAAATGTTTTCCAACAATGGTGGCGACGATTGGATCCTCAAGCGTGAAAATGTTTTCCAACAATGGTGCCGAGGATTCACTCAGCCCCACTGGACAAGCGCCTCCTCCTCTACATCATCACCCGGATTCTTCGCCCCCGGGACAGCAGCCATACCTCGCTCTTCAACGAGGATTTGAAGGCGATTCATGCAATCATCCACGGCGCCTCCATCAATTGGGCAAAATTTTTCATGATACACATGGCGGATTGCGCCTCACTCGCCACCGAGCGGAGCTTGCCGTACGCCTTCCTCATCATGGACATCATCATCTCCACCGATATCCACATCGCCGGGCCAGACACGAAGATGACGAAGCTTTAGATGATCGCTGACAGCACCTTCCGGAAGAAGTCCGGAAACAGAGACGGCGCAGGCCCAGGTCGTGCACCAGCCCCCGCTCCCGCCAAGGCCTCTTTGTAATCCATAGCCGATACTCTGAATCGGCCAACCCTCATAGTGGACGGCATGGGGCAGTCAATCGAGCGGATGGACTGGACGTTGCAACGCCAACACCATGACATGATGGCATACTTCCGTGGCGTCAACTACGTTCCGCCACCTTTCGACAGCACCATTCTCGGCCAAAACTTTGAAAGCGAGGATGAGGACGACGACTCCTATGCTCCGTCCTCCTCCCCCGACGAGGCCAACTTTGAAGATGCGGTCGACAGCGATCCCATGGACGTCAAGGACGACTAGGATGACGACGAGGACTAGCACGCCGATGCCTAGACTCTTCTTTTCTCTTCTCTCCTTACTATGATTGTATTTTTTATTCCCATTCCGTTGTATTCCGCATTTCCCTTTTTAATGAATAAAAGTTTACTTTTAAAATTCTAAAGTTTACTTTTAATTCTTTTTGTTAATGTCAAAAGGGGGAAGATATCACGGTTATGCATAAATTGAGGGGGAATTTTTACTTTGTTAAAAATAAAATGGAATCTATTAAGGGGGAACATTTTTTTTCTCAAAACAATCCTCATTTGCATAACCTCATCTCATTTGCCATTATCAAAAGGGGGGAAATTGTTGAAACACGGGCTTGTCACGTTTTTCGTACTAAAGCCGTATTTGTTTTTATGACAGGTTTTGATAATGCCAAACCGCCGTGATCAAGTCAAACTTTGAATATACAAGGCGAAGAACGAAGATAAGAACAAGAGCTAAACGAAGACCAAGAACGAAGACCTTAGTCTTAGTATCGTTGAGTCGGTCTTTATTGTGATCAAGACCGACCCAATCTTTACACCTTGGCTCTTTAGGCTAAAATCTTTCATTGCATTTCTTACATCATAAAAATGTTTTTCAAACTTTTTTAAGTCTTTAAAAACACTTGGTGTTCACCCAAACCAAAAACCAAGCCATCCAGTGTTCGGCTTTCAGAAACCAGCATTCGGCTTTCGGTTATCCGCAATGGTTTTTGGCATCCGAACCAACCAAGTGGTTTTCAGCATTTTTTGATTGGTTTCCACTCTTTGGCATGTTTCAACGGTTCTCCAACAAAAACACTTTGAAAACCATCTTTCGCTTTTGGTCGTTTGACAAAAACCACGCAAAACGGCGTAAACTTGGCTAGCCGTGGTTTTTACTCAAATGACGTGGTTTTTAAAGTAACTCACTTGATTTCTTAGCCAAATACATCAAATAAGTGTTTCAAACACTTGGTTTTTATTTTGGAGAACTTTGGATTTTTTGGTTGGTTTTCGCATCGGTTGGCTAGGCCGTGGTTAAGGCAAAGACCATGGGTTTTTGGCTAACCACCCACCCAGCGATGGGAAGATCTTCCCATCGATGGGTAAGCGGTCCCTAAGCCAAACGAACTTCCAGAACCATGCCAAACAGCGATGGGAAGTTGTACCCATCGCTGTTAAAGCCTTGGTCCAACATCAACACAAGGCAGAACGATCTTACCCAGCGATGGGGAACTTATCCCATCGATGGGAACCCAGCGATGGTAAGGCTAAACCATCGATGGGAAGGCATGACCGTTGCAAGTCATTTAAGGCTGATTCTTTCCTTGTTTGAAAGTCAACCTCCCACCCAGCGATGGGAAGCATTTACCCATCGATGGGTAGGTGACCGTTGGCTTCAAAACTGAAGGAAATTTGGCTTACCAGCGATGGGTGAGTCTAAACATCGATGGGAAACCAATATCCTGCAAATCCCAAATTTATCCAATCTCTTAAATCAAGCCAATCACCCCTTTAATGCATTGGTCCGTTGGAGCCTATTTTGGCACTATAAAAAGGGGTGTTTGGGTCTGCTTTTCTTATCAATTCACTTCAAAATATTCATATTTTCATTGCATTCAAACAACATTCTTTTCCATAGCTTTTTAGAGCTATTTTGTGTGAAGGTTGAGTTGTTCTTGAGCGTACTTAGTTTACTCATCATCTACTCTATAAGAGAGTCTCGTTCTTGAGTGTATTTGTGTTGCTAGACACGTTGAGAGAAAGTATTTCTCTCGGTTGATTCAAAGGAAGGACTGTTTCCTTTGAAGGATTCGTTGAGGTTCGTGTGACTCGAACTCTCAAGTTGTAAGGGTTTGTTAAGCACCGTTAAGCTTAACGAGATAGTAGTGTAGCTCGAGAGAGTCTCTCGGGAGGCTGGATTAGCCACAAGTTGTGGTGAACCAGGGTAAATTTGGTGTGCCTCTTACTCTTCTCTTTACATCTCTTTTAAATTTTTTAATTCTTGCGATTTCTACGATCAAACGCTATTCACCCCCCCTCTAGCGTTGGTCTATTATTCTAACAAGTTTAAGATTTGAAAACTCTTTTTTAAAAAAAATATATCTTAAACTAGGCCTAGCTTAAGGATTAGAATATCTTGAACTAGAATTAGTTTAAGATTGGAATTGGCCTTAGACTAAAATAGTTTAAGGATATTGTTGAATATGAATGTTGAATATTGAATATGAATGTTGAATGTTGAATATTGAATGATGAATATTGAATAATGAATATTTAAACTGAACATTGTGTGCATGATATAAAATGGTTGATTATGAATTGAGATTCAATTTATGTGGATGTTCGACGCATTAGATATGCTTACTCAGCTTTACCGCTGAGCGTGTAGTGTGTTTTATTTGCTACACGCAGGTCAATAAAATGATATGACGTGATCCTGGAGGCAGACGGAGGCGAGATAGTCGGAATGGATGTGATGGTTTTGAATTAAAGAATATAAATAAATTATGTTTGTGGTTATGATTTGTTAAGCTTCCGCAATATTGAAAACTCCGTACTGTTTATGTTATGAAACATTTTATTGTGATAAATAAAAGTATTGAAATGTTTTAAATTTTTACGATTACCAAGTTAATACTTTAGTCTGAAAGGGGCTACAGACCTGGACGGATTAGGGTGTTACAGTTTCTGAGCTCCAAGAGAATAGAGAAGGAGATTAGGATTTTGATTATTCTTTATTGCTTGATTGAATATCGGGGAAGGATTACAATATATAGATAGTAAAGCTACGCTAGTTGACCTAATGGGCTCGGGCCCGTACTAAACCCTAAACATGATTAACAATATAATACTCCCTCCGTCCCCCTAAGATGTTCTCATTTTGACTTTTGGTAGTTTTTAAGGAGAGTTGAAAAAAGGTGAAAGTTTACCATAATATCTTTAACGAAAATGGGTGGAGTGTATTAAATGAGGTGGGTGAGGTGTAATAAATAAAGTAAGTGGGGGTAGTTATGGTATTTTAATTGTTTAAAAATGAAATGAGAAGATCTATTGTGGACAAAGAAAAAAGGCTATTGCGAAGATCTATGGGGAACGGAGGGAGTAATAAAGAATACTAATTAATAAATAATAATAACTAATCTATTTTCATATCATTCGCACCCCCTTAAAAAACCACCTTGTCCTCAAGGTGGAGGCTCCCATTCATGCTTCTAGACTGGAGAGATAATGCTAAACCAAAGGGGCAGTCCACTCTTAGAATCTTCAACCATCTTGGCTCGTGTAGCAAGGTGATGGAAATGTGAGACAAGACACGTAGCATATGTATTTGCTCTTGGTGAAACCAGGTGCTCCGTCTTGACCACATCCACAATGTCAAACAACTTAATGGTGTCATTAAATAGAATGAGTTTGACCACATCCACAAGTTATACTAATTAATAAATAATATAACTAATCTATTTTCATATCATTGTGTAATAGTGTGTTTACATAAGACATTTGATAAAATAAAATATTCTTGTCGCATCTTATTTTGTAAAACTTTTGATGTACTCTTTAAATTTGTAATTTGTACTTTTTATTTATATATAGATAAAACTATTTTAAAAATGATAAGATTTTGCACATTGTTCGAAGATGTAAATAAATCTAGGACGAGGATTCTGTGTTTGAACAGTAACTGTCACTTTATTCTCTCATATGTCGATGAGAGAATAAAAAAATTAGAAATAAAAAAATTATTTTCTTCAACGTAATTCCATTTTAGTTATTTCTTAATAATAGAAATAATTTTTTTATTTCTTTAGTATTTTAATATGAAAATATTTTATTTATTTTTATTTTCATATTTGACAATAGAAAAAAGTCATACATTAACACTCCATATAGAGCATAAAGTGTTAGAACCCATCACTCAGTATAAATTATTTTATTTCATACCTGTTTGAGGTGAGTTTTTGGTTATTACCTTATTTATTTCATTTTGTGTGGTTTTAGTTGTTTTTCTCATTTCTTTATTTTTTATATCTATTTTTTATTTTTCTGATGTAAGACTAATCTTTAAAAAAAGGAAAAAGAAATGATGAATGTAAAAAGTTATTCTAAAAATTTAAAAGAAAATTTCAAAAAAAATTAAGAACAAAAATTTATCAAAAATAATCTCAAGTTTTATTTTGTTGTGCAAAACAGATCATTTCTGCTAACCCGTTGTTAGCAATTTAAGACCATCTCCAACCATTACACCAAACTAAGAATGCAATAAATGTCAAATTTGTAGTAATCCATTTCCAATCCATTACACCAAAATATAAATAACATTCTCAAAGTATATTCTTTTTCTTATTACTCTTTATATTTTGAAAATTATAAAATTGCAGTAAATTATAAAAAACAGTAAGCTAAAAAGACAAATAATGTAAGCAGAAAAAATTTAAAAAATATTAAGAAATAATAAAGATATGGAAGAAAAGAAAATGAAGTACCCCAAACTAATTTGGCAATTGAAAATGAAATACTTTTAGGGTCCGTTTGGTATATGGAATTGATGGAATTGGAATTGAAATTCCATGAGATTCAATTCCATAGAATTGAATTCACCAATTCCAATTCATTTTTTGCACTATCAATTCTAAATTCACATAATTTTTGTCCTATCGAACACCAGAATTGGAATTGAAATCCTCAATTCCAATTCCATAATTTGAATTCCATGTACCAAACGGGACCTTAGGCGATGTGCTACTCCAAAACTGAAGACATGCAGTAAGTACTATTGGAGATTCTGTAATGGAAACTCAACATTTACAAATTTCAGTAAATTGGATTCTATGCACCACAGTGTGAAAGGTGATACTCCCTCCATCCCTAAATATATCTCACATTTCTATTATCGAGGTAAAATATCAAGTTTTTCAATTCATTTTATTTACATGTTGGTATAGAAATAAAAAGGTGATACTCCCTCCATCCCTAAATATATCTCACATTTCTATTATCGAGGTAAAATATCAAGTTTTTCAATTCATTTTATTTACATGTTGGTATAGAAATAAAAAATAAAATTTACGTATCAAAAAACTATATGAAAAGTTTTTTAAAATAAGAGGTGTTAAGAATATTTTATTTTATCAAATAACCAATAAAATAAACAAAAATTCTCGCGACTGCTGAAAAAGCAAATGTTAGATATTTTCAGGGACGGATGGAGTATTATTTTTAAAAGGCCATGTAAGTTAGGATTATTCTGGGCAAAAAAAATACGCATGAACGGCCACAATCCCTTCAGAAATTCAGCCCAGTTGTACGGTTCGGACGTGGCCAATAACCTTGATGAGCTCCCGCCACAGAGAAGGAAATGGAGAGAAGAGCATCGCACTCAGAAGAGGCAAAACAAGATCAAATTGAGAATGATCAAAGGAGTGCGCAAACTTAAATTAATATACTAATTGAATATTAAGTTTAATGAGTTCTTTGCGCCATTTAATCGCGGACTTTTCAAAAATTGCACGGATTTTCCCTAAACTTTAGAAATTGCGTCTCTGAACTTTTAAAAATGTTGCATCAATGATTTTTCTGTGCAAAATTTAGGAGCGCTTTATTCACACACTCATCAATATACATGTTGGATCTTGAAGAAGATTTTATGATTTGATGAAAAGATTGATTGATTGATGAAGAGCTTGATTGACTAATGCTCAGACTTTGAATTTGGTTACCGACGGTTAAAGCAAGAGGTTTAAAATATAGAAAATAATATTTGAGAAACATATTGCAGAACTCGCATGAGATATATGACTTTAGAGAATCTACACTTGCACTAGAGGGACCATTGATGCAACATTTTTAAAAGATCGGAGTCCATTCGGGAAAGTTCAGTGAGAATCTATGTAATTTTTGAAGAATTCAGAGATAAATGACACAAAAAACATTTAAAATGATTAGTACAGGCCTAATTAAAAAATATGGTGATCAAATCCACCGGAATTAAGTTGTAACAACGATTTGAATGCTATAAAGGGAGAGAGAGAGAGAGAGAGATGAAGCAATACTATGTCTTTGTACATTTGCCTCACTCAATAATTAATGGTATAATGACATTGGTGTGGCTTCTAATCATGCATTTTTTTAATCAACCGTGTTAGGTGTACACCAAGGAATGTATCTCAAAGTATGCACCAAAGGTATGCATTAATATTTTCATAGCTCACACTAACACAATATGCTAGTGTGATCAAAAAAATTGCACTAATATTTTGTGCATGTGTGAACCATCACACTGACACAAAAACGAAGGTACACATTTGTAGTGTATAATTTCGGATACAACTTTTAGTGTGCAAGTAGCTTAATTCTTTTTTAATCCACTTGTGTGTTGTGAACTTAGACACTGCTAATATTGAGTCCAAACATCTAATGTTGGTCCTTTTACATAAAGGAATGTCTAGAATTTTACCTAAGTCAACATCCATCCTTTTCGTAGTAAGATTTTCTGCCAATTTTGGGTTACGAGATAGGCTTCACACGTTATCTCCATCCCTATTTTAAAAAGTTCGACTACTATTTAGCAGTATTTGCTTTATTGATCACTTTCCTACTTTACAATTTACACATAATGAAGAGGGCAAATTAGCACAGGTGGCGTAGCTAAGCTGATCAACTAGAGTACATAAGGGCGTTATGGATGGGTTCGACTCATAGCAAAGGCAGTGTGAAACTTTTGTGCTTTGAATAAGATCCTTGCTGGGACTAAGGACAGATAGCCGGGCCTGAGAGACCCTAGGTTGGAGCTCATCATTTTGTGAAAAAGGCAAATTTGGCACAGAAAATTGCACCTAGGTACCCTCTATTTTGAGAAATTAACTGCCAGGTACCTCATATTTTTAAAATATACTCCGGGGTACCCTCTATTTTGAGAAATTAACTCTCGGGCAACTCACATTTTTAAAATATACTCCGAGATACCTCCAAATGTATATTAACTTACTCGTGAAAGACATTCCATTTCATTCGAAAGCTTTGATTAAACTGGATAGAGTAGTGTATCCTTAAAGTATAAGAACCAAGGTTATCTTTAGAATTTCAAACCCCTGTTTCTTAAAATTACAACAACAACAACAACCCAGTTAAATCCCACAAGAGTAGGGTCTGGGGAGGGTGTGTGTACGCAGACCTTACCCCTACTCGAAAGTAGAGAGGCTGTTTCCAAAGAGACCCCCGGTTCAACGTCGAAAGTTGCATTGCTTGACTAATTACTACTTCATTAATTAAAGAAACACAGACAGTTTAGAAATCCATTTTGATTTATTCTATCACACCCCAAAGCCAAAAAATGGTGAAATTTTGGCTCCATCGGAGATGATGGAAATCCTATTTCTTAAAATTAATGGTGTAAAATTAATGTATATTTGGAGGTACCCCGGAGTATATTTTAAAAATGTGAGGTACCCGGTAATTAGTTTCTCAAAATAGAGGGTACCTTAGAGTATATTTTAAAAATGTGAGGTACCCGGCAGTTAGTTTCTCAAAATATGGGGTACCCAAGAGCAGTTTTCTGAATTTGGCAAATCAATGACTTTCCCATCGTACATTACAAACTGTACAAAGTCAAATTGGGAAGTTCCAAAGTGGACAGAGATAATAATACGGAGTAACTTGTTTAAATGAAAAAAATTAATACCCTAGTGTAGCCATATATGTGTATGCATAGATATTTTAAAATTATGATATTTCAAAACAGTATTTCAGAATGACACTAATGATATCAAATTCACATTGAAACTAAATATATTTTTAACAAATTTTAATCAAAGTTTGTGAAAGTTAACCAAGAAAAGTCAAATGCACGAAGGGAGTAGCATTGAGATTTCAAAACTCAAATTCTTGAATTTCCAATGAGTCCAATATCCGAACACACGCGCGCGCACACACTGATACATAGAATAAACATACCTTAAAATGGGTTTGCCAACTATTTGCATCACCCGGTAATGAAAATAAAGTTGGAGCAATTGTGACATTATCTCGGATGGATTGGAAACTTCAAGGTGTCATGATATCCTCAAGATAGCTCCCTAATTGCTGAACGCCAATATATAGTGCATCAGCAAGAAGAAAGACTCCAATCTATGATGCCACATATTTCAAACTTGTTAGTAATGTCAAGCAAGATTGACAAATACGATTTAGTGACTTACAACCGAAAAGTCTAGGAAACAAGTGATAAATTACCAGGCGCACTGAAAACACTAATCTGTATCCCCAACCTTCCTTGGCTGCAGCTGCTCTTTGCTGATCAGTCCATCTAGAAATAATAAAGAATATGTCTTGAATACTTACAACACAAGAAATCTAAATTGAAGGCTGGAAACTTTAATCATGTAAATATTTCCAACATGCAAATTCTAATCACGCAGATTTTACTTGCAACAACTGTAGGTTTTTGTTACACACACCTTTCCCAAATCCCAAACCCTACTTTCGTGGGATTTTACTAAGTTGTTGTTGTTCAACGATTGTAGCTTTTTGTTAATTCCATTGCATGTAATGACACCCAATTTAGAAACTGAATGCTGATGTGTGGGTGATTTTATGAAATTATTGATTGGGGAATTGTGGTCATAATACCAATACCTATAGAATCAATAACATCTAGAACAATATGTAGATAACATAAAATTTTTCATTTATATATAATTCACCTTCTTTTTTGTATATGGATCTTCAACACGTATAGCGTAATATTGTCCAAAACATGATTGGGATTTTCAAGAAATATTTTGTATCGGTGTTTCCAACAACTCATATCTGTGTAGCAATAACAATCTATTGTGGCATGAATTCAGAGTAAGAACATGGCAAACAGAATAGATTGTAAAATAACTTGTGTTATCAATTTATAGACTTAATCACTGATATTATATACTCGCATATTAGCATGAATTAAATAGGAAAAATTCACATCATTACTCCCAAAATTGCATAATTTTACATAAATACTCCGAGATTTAATAAATGACGCCCATGCTCCCAGAATTTTTGTATGTTTACATCAATACTCCAACATTGAAATATGTTTACATCGGTGCCCCAACATTTGGAGCATAGATATAAACATAAATAAATTCTTAGAGCATCGATGTGAACATATAAAAATTTTGGGAGTATTGATGTCATTAATTAAATTTTGGAGTATTTATATAAAATTGTGTTATTCTGGGAGTAATGATGTGAATTTTTCCAATTAAATAAGACATAATAAGTGGCATTAGATAGTTACCCAAGGAATTCTGAAACGCCACCAATTCCAGCAAACTTGAGAGGTCCTGGCCCCTCCACAATGAGATCCTGCTCCACAGAATCAAGGGCCAAAGAGGGATGAGCTCACAATATATGCCTGTCTACTCTTCCCACATTAGAAATTCTAGAAAAAAACATAATTGGAAAGCATGCCTCATCTTCAGCAGCTTCAAATCCTCCCCGAACCCAAAACAGATTCTTATAGCCAGCATTGTACAGTAGTTCACAAGCAGCAAGTGATCTAGCCAGAACATGAGGTTTCAAAAACTACACAACATCTACATTATTTATTTAACAAAGTGAAATGATCAGATGGCTTCTTTCGTCCCCAGGAACTCAATGGAAAATGAATTATGAGATTTGGATAGGTAGTATCAAATGCAATGAAAAGTAAACAGAAAATTATAATTAGAAACAAATCAATTGAGCATGCTATCAAACAATTCAATGCATAAATATTACCTCAGCCCCTTCTGGCATGCAACAATTAGTTCAGAATCTTTGGGAAACTTATCCTCAACCATGGCTAAGAACTGCCTGTTAAACAAAAAAGAGGGAGTTGAAATAAGTCGCGCACGGGGAGAACGGATTAAAAGAGGAAATGATAGTTTTAATATACCCGTGATAAGAGAGTGTAGGGATGCCACTCCACCATCCTCCTGTTAAACACAACATCACCTTAGATGCAGTAGATTTTGAACGGAATGTAGTAAAATAAATTAAAATTTTGAGTCTATCGTCGTCAGCAATGATTGGCGGCTTTTTTTGTTCATACCCATAACGAAATTCATGATTTTTCTGGGAATGACTCCAAAATCAAATGTGTTATCAACATCGAAAATAGGAATCCAGGTAGAATCTCTCACCCAAGCCTTCAAAACAGGAAAAGGGGCATGGTAAGCTCACACCGATGAAGTGAAAGAAAAGGAAAAAGAGTTGGATTATTTAAATGCGCAAGAGAAGAATAAGTATTGCAAAAAGTCAACAAAAGTAAACTCATGGGCAAATAGCTTAATTTGCGAGTCACCTCAAAATTAACATGTCGAAAATGTCCTCCTACTTTAGGGTTAGTTACTAAGGATGTATGTAGCATTAGAGGACGTTTTGAATACTTTTTAAGGGTGTTACTAAATCTACCATCGAAATTTTGTTAAATCCAGACCAATATCAAAGTTATATTATTGGGTGTGGATTTAGCAAAGTTAGGTAGAATATGTGGATATAGCCATTTAGGGGGTGGAATTAGCAACACCCCCGGTGCAGATTAACTTTAAAAATGCTGAAGCTTCAGAAGTCTTTCAAAACACTAGAGCTAAATGTTAAAGTTAATGACAAACAGACACTATGTAATGTGCGCAATGTAGTTAAAACAAAAGCTACAACTTCATCAAGAGAGAAACCTTTTTGCGCTCGTTTGAGGGGCGGACATCAAGAAGGGGCTTGTTCGAAAGCTGAACAGCATACCCAGCTTCCCTTGGGGTAAGAACCTTAACTTTTCGATCTCTAATCTACAAACAAAAATTAGCTGGCATTCCCAAATGGACCGATAAATAGCTCAATTGGCTATAAAAACATTCAATTAAACCCTAAAATTCAAAAGAATCACTAGACATTTAGCTTGTAGCGTGCAAAGAATTAAAATACCAGAGATTCCCATCTCTTTCTGGCAGCAGCCATGTCCCTAGTTTGCTTCAATTCATTGTCATCCCTCTCCGAGTGGACGCGAAGAACTGCCTTCCTCTGTTCTGGTCGAACGTGGGAGCCAGATAAGAGAGAAGGCACAAAGCAAACCCATGAATAAATAAATAGGGTAAAGAATGAACGAATACCAAAGAGAGGGGTCTGGCTCTGAAAGATAGATTGAGTTGTAAGGTAGAGAGTGAGGAATAATTTGAAGCAGCACTCAGAGCAAAATTTTTTACAGAGGTTTTGGTGAGAATGTTTAGGGGAAGTGAAAGTGCTTCCATGACGGTTCAGGCGAAGATCAGAACGGCGACGACTCTGGGTTTTGTTGCCCGACAAATGCTTCCATGACAAATACTCCGTACAAAAATTATAAAAGTTTGTGAATATAAATTTTTTTTTTTTAACAACCATGCTGCTAGGGGTACACTCAAAAGTGTATCCCAAGTTGTATTACAAAGAAATGTATCGATATTTTAATGATTTATCCTGGCATAAATTAGTTTGTTGGAAATTGCACTATTATTTTTATCAATGTAAATCATTACACCAGCATCACACTAGCACAAAATGTCGGTGCATGCTTTTGAGGTACAAATAGAGTATAAGTTGGAGATGCTAAATATGGTCAGCCATAAACATATTTTAGAATATGTACAGTGATTTGGATGTTCTTATTTTGATATGTGCTCCAACCATAGCTGCTACTCTCCCTCTTCCATATAAATTTAATATGTTTTACTTTTTTATTTCTTTGCTTTGTGTGGATGTTAGCATTTCTCTCTCCTCTCAATTGGTTACCGTATTTAATTTCATTAATATTTTATTATAGCTGATAACTTTTGATCATTTATATATAGCATGTGTAAAGTGAAAAATAAATATTTCTCTATCTTTTGAAGGACCCGTTGGAGCCCATTATTATGAATAGTGAAGTCTAAAATTTCTATTTTTTAAACTATGAAAGCTCCATTGGAGATGCTCTAAGTTTGGTGTACATATTGCTTAATCTTTTTTTAATTACTCCTTCCGTCACTATTTTGATTACAATACATCCTTTTCACATGCTTTAATATTAGGTCAAATGAAATAATCTTTTTTTTAGAATACCCTTAATCAATAACTAACAATGTCATAATCAGTGGTTTCATCAAGTCATAATCATGATAATAATCATTCACCATAATCATCACTCAACATATCATTCGATAGCAAATAGCGACCTAGTTTCGAGTGTTAATACCCGAACTTACTGTCATGCATCACAAAATGTTTTAATTTGTTAAAAACATCATTTTTATTGTGAAAAATTATTTTTATAATAATCATAATCAATTGTTATCAAAAATAGGATTTTAGAGATCAAAAAAAGCATTTTCGAACAAATTTTCGGATCAGAGTTTCGGTTCGGTATGGGTTTTTATCAAGTCATAATCATCATAATTTGGTTCGGTATGGTATGGTACGGTATTTATTGAGGATAACTGAGCATGGTACGGTATTTAGCTCGTACCGATACCGTACCAAATATTTCGGTTCGGTATGGGTTTTTACTCCGTACCGATCCCGAGCCCGAAATATCTGTTTGGTATGGTTCGGGATGGTTCGGTATCGATTTCGGTACAAATCGGGATGAACATACATACCTACTTTACACGTTAAAATTTAACAATACCCCTTTATTTTTGAAAATTAAAAGTAAATTTAAATAAAAAACATGAAAGATAAAAACAAAAGAATATTTAAATGCAAGAGATGCGTATCAAAATTTAGTTTATATTTCACAAACTAAAAAAATGAATGGCAACAAAGGAGTATTTCGAATCTTTGTGAATACTTTTATGTTCATACACAAAAATTAAAACTCAAATAAAAGTATGATTTACACATCATAGAACTTGAACCAAATTTTTTAAAAAAATTATTATTAAGTGAAGGAATATAAAAATATTACTCTGGGGTATTATTTTTTATAATATTTTAGTATATATGTTCGGTACGGGATTTTCGGTATGGGACGTCACCTCGTACCATTCCCGAATACCGTACCGACCATTTGGTTCGGTACGGTTTGGTTCCTTCTCGGTACTTTTTCGGTTCGGTATTTTTCGGTTCGGTATTCTCGGTTTTTTTGGGAAATTTCGGTATCAGTTCGGTACTTGCTCACCCCTAACTAATATCATATATCCACTCTTTGCGCATATGAGGTGAGATATTAAAAGTGAGGCTATTCTAATCTTAAAGGTGTCTAAAATAGGGGCGGGCAATCAGGTCCAAGAATCGCGGGTCTGAATTGATCCGAGAGGTTCGAGGCGGGTTAGGTCTGGTTCCATATTTGAAAATTTGAAAACAGCCCGGTCCGGGACGAGTCCTCTAGCTTCTAGGTTTTGTCCGAGTCCCAATTTTAATTTTTCTGAATCCCGGCCCAGGCCGTTTATATTTAAGTAAAATTTACCCAAATTATTAATAGTCTGTAGCCATTTTTAACTTTTGGTTCCTCGATTCTTACAGTAAAGCAGTTTGGTCCATCAACTAAAATCCAAATCCAGCGACTTAACCATGCAAACTGAAAGAGGTGCCGCTACCGTAGTTTTGACTTTTTTTCTCTGGAGAACTAAACCCCTAAAGCAAAGTTCCGTTCAACTTATTTTTTTCTGCTTATTACTTATTCTTATTAAAACCAGATCAGATCAGATCTAATCACATAAGATCCAATGATATCATATCAAATCAGATCCAAACAAAATTAATATTATTATTATTATTATTACTATTATTATTATTACCATTATTATTAGTATAATTATTACTATTACTATTAGTAATATGATTATAATTATAATTATTATTGTTATTACTATTGTTATTACTATTAATATTAATAAAATTATTATTGTTACTATTATTATTATTATTACTAATATTATTATTACTACTGTTATTATTACTATTACTATTATTATTATTATATTTATTATTTAGTATTGCTATTGTTATTATTACTATTACTATTACTACTATTATTATTATTACTATTATTATTATTACTATTATTATTATTTATATTATTATTATTAATATTAATTTTATTTTTATTATTATTACTACTACTACTATTACTGTTACTATTATTATTATTATGACTATTTGTTATTTTAATTATTACTATTATTATATTACTATTAATATTATTATTATTACTATCATTACTATTATTACTATTATTATTATCATTGTTACTAATAGTATTATTACTATTACTATGATAATTATTATTTCTACTCCCTCCGTCCTAAAACTTTCTTCCCAGAGCACTATTCCAACTTCATGGGAATTTATATTTATTTGTGTTTTTTCATTGTCTATATGATAAAATAAAATATTCTTCTCACCACTTGTTTTGTTGAATTTTTGATGTAGTTTTTAAATATGTATGTTTTATTTTTTATTTCTATACCAATATTTAAATAAAATAGATTGAAAAAACTTGGGATTTTTCTTCGTTTTGCGCAACGGGAAGAAAGTTTTAGGACGGAGGAAGTATTATTATTACTATTATTATCTCTATTATTTTTATTACTATTATTATTATATTTATTATTATTATTATTATTACAATTCTTATTACTAGTATTATTATTATTATTTCCTTTATTATCAATATTTGTATTATTATTATTTCTATTTTTATTACTACTATTATTATTAATATTATTACCATAATTATTATTATATCGATTCTTATTACTCTTATTATTATTACTATTACTATTATTATTATTTCTATTATTATTACTATTATTATTAACATTTCTATTATTATTATTACTATTATTATAACTATAATAATAATAATTTTAATTTTAATCAAATTTATATCATATCTAATCAGATCACATCCAATCTGATGAGATGCGATCCAATCTGATCAAATCAGATCAGACCAGATCAGATTAGATCAGGCAAACGGGACGCATCTTAAACCTTGCAAAGCTGCACACTGTCTCTATTTTTATTATAAACATTTGTGAATATAAATTTTCATTTTTTAACTACTTCTCCGGTCTCTATTTTGATTACAATATATCCTTATCACATACTTTAATATTAGGTCAAATCAAATAATCTTTTTCCAAAATACCCTTAATCAATAATTAGCCTCATATATCTACTTTTTCACATATGAGATGAGATATTAAAAGTGAGGGTATTCTAGTCTTAAAGGTGTATAAAATAGGGGTGGACAATCGGGTCCAGGAACCGCGGGTCTTGATCAAACCAAGAGGTTCAAGGCGGGTTAGGCCTGGTTCGATATTTGAAAATCTAAAAATGGTCTAGTCCAGAATGGGTCTTCTAGTTTTCAGGTTTGATCCGGGTCCCAATTTTAAATTTTGTGAATCCCCAGCCCGGACCGTCTATGTTTAAGTAAAATTTAATATTTCAATCTATAGGCCCAAATTCTTAATAGCCTGCAACCTTTTTTAATTTTTGGTTCCTCAATTCCTACGATAAAGCAATGTTCTGAAAACCAGACCGGGCAACGACTCGGACGAAGAAGGGGGTCAAGCGTTAACCGGTCAAACCAGTCAATCCGAGACTCAACAACCTAGTCAATGCCCATAGTCCAAACATAAAATTAAAAGAGTAATTACATAAAATTAAAAGAGTAATTACATAACCGGTCAAACCAGTGAATCGTGTTTTTGAAGAAGAAGTGTCGGTGAGCTAGTCTTAACGAGCAACGGGAACGTAAAAGATTATTTTTTATGGAAACTCGTCCCCCGGCCGGATCGACCCGGCTCGCCGGGGTCAGGCGCGTCTGACGGGTTTGGACGGGTCACAAGGGAATTGGGCTTTAACATTGGCCCGTAGCAGAAATGCTTCTGGTTCACGATCTTGCCGGTCGAACCGACCGGTCCGGTTTGGGCTTCAAACCACTGTGGTAAAGCAGTTCGGTCCATCAATTAAAATCCATATCCAAGCGACTTAACCATGCAAACTGCAAAGAGGTGCCGCTACCGTAGTTTTGACTTTTGTTCTCCGTATATGAAAACTTGAAAACCTATCAATCATATTCATGTATTTGCATGAACCTTTCTATTTGTTAATTGTAATGCTTGTGGCACATAAATTACATTTTTATTTAATACATAAATAATATCCAATTTGGGTAGTGTATTTAAAGTTTGTTTACTTCACATTTTGCCCTCTCATATATGGGATGAAACATGAATGACTAGATGAGCTTAGTGTGTGTTTTGTTGTTGTGGTGAATGGCCATCAATGAATTATTTGTTTATTATCATTCCTTTATATTTTTAATGTTCGGATCATGATAGGTTTGGACTCGTTGACCCATGGAATCGGCCCGTTTCAAACAAGCCTGGTTAGGTCCGGTTCCAATTTTAAAGTTTTAAAAACCCGTCTCGGCCCGGACCATTTCAATAAGAAACAAGCCGAATTCAGGTTTTAGAAATATTAGCCCGAATCGGTCCGTGCCCACCCCTAATCTAAAAGTTACCAAAGCAGAATATTATAATCCATTTTGGAATAATAAAAAGGGGGAATACTGTAATACAAATAGGGACGGAGGGAGTATATAAGATGATTTTTTTCCTAAGATTCACAAATAATAAGTTCTATTTTTTTTGACATTTTTATTTGTAAATATAGAAATTTAAGATAACTAAAATGATTTTATTAAACATAAACACAGTAATGACAGTATTCATAAATAGTTACTACTCTAAGCTAATAATAAGGTCAACAATACTAAGCCCGCTAAGCGATTTTAATTACATCTGATAACACCCCCGGAAGATGAGGCGTGATAAGCTTGAATGCACAGCTTGACAATAAAAAATGGACTAAACACAAGACAAACTTTGACAAATAATTCTGTGAAGGAATCAACTCAACCAAAAGCTCAAATTTGTGGTTGTATGTTCAGGAAAGTTTTTATATTCTAACGTGTTGCATGTTAGTCGTGATCGCTTCAAGCTTTTCACATGAAATTTTATTTTATTTTTCTAATTTAGGTGGTGTTGAGTTTCAAACTCGTGAGTTCCTAATCAGCAAGGCTTTCAGTTGCTGGGTCACACATATGTGTAGAGTATAATATGTGGTGCGCTACACATGGAACGAGTGGCACAGTAAGTAGGGGTGTAAACGGATAATATCCGTGACGGATATGGCATATCTGAATCCGTATCCGTTTAAGTTTAGTAATATCCGAATCCGTATCCGTATCCGGTGGATATTTACTATACTATATCCGAATCCGTATCCGACGGATAATTATCAATTTCGGATATATCCGAATCCGATTAGATATCCAAAAGTAACCGAATATCTGAATCCGATTAGATATCTGAAAGTAACCGAATCCGAAAATATTCGAGTCCATTAAAAAATCCAATTAGATATCCAAATCTATTTATAAATAAATTAAACACAGTCCAAAACTGTAATTGAAGTCCATAATACATTAATACCAAAAAAAACTTTAGAATACAAAAAAAAACAATAGTCAATATTTTACCAAATATCTAATAATACGAACAAAAATATAAATTTCTAATCGATAAAGTACAAATCGTATTCAATACATCTCAAAATTCTCTCAAGAAGATAATCTTTGATGCATCCAAAATTGCAAGCTATTTCACTTGCTTCATACTTCAAAACCCACAATATACCAAACATGTTTAAAAAAAGTCAAAGTAGGAATGAAATTGTGTTTCCTAAAACAACAAAATGAGGTTTAAAAATACAACAAAATAGAAAGTTCAAGACTTCAAGGAATCAAAACTGAAAACTTCACCTCAAGGAAGGAGAAGACAACAATAATGCATATCATTCCATGGATGTGTCACCTATGAGAAGAAAAAAAATCAACATATTAAATATTTTTTAATGAATACTTGTTAGATAAAGAAGTGATAAAACTAAAATTACTTACCTTCTCCTTCAAGTGTTGGCAACCAATCTTTCACACAAAGTAAAGCCTCAACCGTATCTGAATTAAGTGAAGCACGAGTATCCTCCAAAACCCTACGAGCTCGACTAAAAGTGGACTCCGAAGGCACAGTGGTACATGGAATTGCCAAAACATCTCGAGCTATCTTTGAAAGAATTGGGTACCGCAGACCATTATGCTTCCACCAATTTAAAACATCAAATGCATTATCTTGCTCAATTACTAATCCCTCCTCCAAATACAACTCAATCTCAGTTTTTTTAGGATTGGAATTGGCACTTGATTGAGCAACAAGTTCCCTAAATCTCGTTAAAAGAGGAAATTCATTTTCATCCATTGGCAAGCTTTCAACCCGATGAGAAGAGTCACTTGAAGTATTAGCCTCGTGAGAAGATGTTTTATCATTATACTCAACAAATAATTCTTTCCAAAAAAGATTCACTTTGGATACAAAATTGCTAGATTCACCAAAAGCAGCTTTAACAAGTGTCATCTTATATCTCGGGTCAAGAATAGAAGCAACAGTCAAGACCAAACTACACTCATCCCAATATTTATCAAATTTTGATTGCATTAATAATGCCATTGTTGAAATTTCTGCATCACTACTATTACTCCATGTATTCAAACACTCTCTTATTTGACAAACAAAAGTGAAATAAAGAGGGGCAGGAGTGCATCTGTTGCATTTTTAAAAATCTTCAGATGTCTACAAATCTTTGCACCCATTTCCCACTCTTCTTTTGAGGGTAAGTAAGTGTAACCTGAATCTAACTCGGCCAAACGGTTAAATGCTTCTTTGAGATCAAGTGCACTCATAAGCATATCATATGTTGAGTTCCATCTTGTGTCATACTCTAAACTTACACGTCTCTTGGAGTTTAGTCGAGTCTGAACCAATGCAAGACCAAATTTTTCCTCTCTTTGAACTGATACATTCACATATTTTACACTATCACGTATTTTTCCAATTAATTCCTTAATCACATCCAACCCATTTTTCACAATCAAATTCATAATATGCGCTGAACATCGAATATGAAACAACTCCCCATGACGATTTGTTAAACAGAGAACAATTTGTTAAAAGCAGAAAAATTGGAAAAGATGTAGTTTTTGACTCTTTTGTGATAAAAAATTATTAAAAACAGTCTTCAAACAAGATTTAATTGTTGGTCGATGCACGGGTCCAGAATCAATAATTTTCCATAAAATTGGTCAAAAATTAAAGAAGTGATACTATTTTAGATTCAAACAATTTTAAAAAAATTATTGTAAAATCTAAAATCAGTGAAAAAATGAACAGAGAAAAGAGAGGATAAGATTAGAAAATGCAGAATATTGGAGCATTCAATTCCAGAAATTGCATGCTTGTTTTGTAATTAAAATGGCAGAAAAAAGGTAAAAAAATTCTCAAAAAAATAAAGAAGAGCAGACAACCAAAGAAGGGATTGAGGGTTTTGAAAATGAAAGAAATACATGGAGATTGACGGCAGTGGTAGGAGATTTTCACCCACTTCACGGAGATTGTGGAGATGGATTTTCGCCCTATTCACTGATGGATTCACGGTGACTTGTGTTGATACTTCGATCGATTCACAGTACTGGTTCAGCAGAGAGCATCGTCGATTGATGTTTGGGCTTGACTTCGATCGATTTTGGGATTAACTTGGAATGAGATTTTAGATCTGGAATGTCAATCAAACGAAAGAGGGGCTGAAGGCAGAGGAGAATCGCCGAATTGGGAAAAAGAATTACAGAAGACGGGTTAACATGTTTTGAAGTAGGTTTTTTCCTTTTTTTCTTAAAAAATTTCTTTGTGGGCTTTTTCTTTTTTTACATGGAAGGGTAACATATTGGGAATTAAGAAATAAATTAGTAATGGTAAACTATGTAAATACTTGATACTAGGATTATATTTATTCAAAAAATTATTCGGTATTCGTATAAACGGATATTGATAAACTGTTATTTAAACGGATGTATATTTGGATCGGATTTTAAACGGATCGGGTATACAATTACCATATCCGCATCCGTTTAGTAATCGGATACCTTTAATCGAATACAGATAATATCCGTTTAAAACGGATACAGATATTCCCTCTTTAAACAGATACGGATGCGGACGGTAAACGGATTTTCAGCTATCCGTTGACAGCCCTAACAGTAAGTAACCCTCATATCAATATCATCTCAGTGCAAGCATTTTCGCCTCAGCTGAAGAATGAGAAACTTCGATTTGCTTTTTGGTTCCCCAAGAAATAAGAGATCTACCCAATAAGATGAAATAAGCAGTTAGACCAATATTATTGTTACTAAGAAAAAGAATACCTTGACCTGGATGTCCTTTAATATATCTCAAGACATGTAGAGTAGCATTGGGATGATCCAATCAAGGAGCTTGCATAAACTGTGAGAAAACATGTACTAGAATACGACCGAGATGTCTTGTTAGGAAATAGTCACATGCAGGAGGCGACCCACTAAGAAATTATACTTAGTTGGGTCGCTGATCTCGACACTCATTGAAATTCCCCCAAATTAATAGAAAAATTTGCTTCATATAAGACTAAAAGGTAGTACGTTTTCTTGAATAAAACCAAGTATTTTTATTCCCATTTATGGTACATAATTCTATATGATCTACCATATATGCCCTCATTAGCAACAAGTATTGGATAATGACTAAGTATACGAATAACTCTACGAATATGGTCATTAGAAACAAGTGTTGGATAATGAATGATTATTTTTATGACTATTCAAATCGTTTCTAATAATGTCTTATTCTACTTGAATTGTGTAACTAATCATTTTTTCTCAAAGACAGGGCATTTTAGAACTTTCCATTGCCAAACGCTATAGTAGGTAGGACTAGTTCTATTTAGGGAAAAGTGATATGTTTAAGTCCCGTTTGCGTATACTTCCCAATTTAATAATGAATTTTTAATAAATCATAATTCTGATTTTTGTGTGAATTAAATAAGAATTGAAACAACAAGACTAAAATAAGATATTTTTGAAGTTATTTTTTATGGTCAAATTTATATTCGAATTGTAGGTGTCCAAGAAACGTGTTCAGTGGTGTATTTTGTTTGTGAATCAGAGTTACAAAACTTAGTAATTAGACTGTCCTAAGAGTGAAATGAAACTAAAGTAAAAGAATAAAATATAAATTTATCAGAAAGTCAAAATAATATATTCAATACTAGTGTCGTTGGGTAGGTGTAACACCCCAACCCGCATAACCTGAACAAATGGACTAGTGAACCGGGTTGCTACTAACTTGGTATCCACACATTACTTATTTTCAAAACAATTCAAATAAATACTTCAAAACATAATTTCAAACATTCATCGATTGGTATGGATCATAAATTGGACGCATGTATGGATCATAGATTGGATGAACAACCTGGCGATCAGTGATGTTCAGCAAAGTGGATGTTTGTAGCTACTTTGTGTTAAATTAGTTATTCATTTGAACTTATTTATTTAAATTACAAGAACATTTTGTAGATGTTGTTTTTAAAGACTTCCGCAACGTTTGATTTATTTACTCCGATTGACTTTTGTTTATTTTAAATTATTATGAACGGATGTTTTACTTTAAATGTTTCAAAATATTTTGCATGTGAATACCATTAGTAGCAATCTGGTTTGTTAACTCGTTGGTTCAAGTTACACGGGTGTAGGTGTTGCAATCATTGACCTTGCAAGATTCTAATTCGGATGAAGAGGAGTGTCCACCTGCGTGCAACCTAACAACACTTCCTCCTACAAGATATCCAAAGTGTACTTACACTAAGTCAGAACCATCCCATCATTATATCCCTAAGTAATAAGATATAGGACTGAGATCCTTCAAATGAAAAGAATCATCTTCCACACAGAGATGTTTCCTGCAACATGAATGTCATCCACATAATTCAAAACAATAAAAATATCTAGACCACGACGATAAATAAACAATGTGTGCTCAACGTGGGCTTGACAAAACCCATAGCAACCTAAGGCAGTAGTCAACTTAGCAAACCAATTTGTTAGAGCCTGTCTAAGGCCTTACAATGATTTTCACAAACAACATACTTTATGAGGCAGGGGTGCAAGCCATTATGATACTCACGTCTTTCCTTCTCTACGGCCTGTCATCGTGTCATGTAGTAACGGAGATGAACCCGATGGCTAGTGACATCATGGAGGCTGACATTGTCATCGTTGTCGCAAGTGTGTGAAGGCGTAATGATGGTGAGGCGGTTAGTGCCCCCGTTGGTGGTGGCAGCTACTGACCTCACGAGGCACTCGATCCCTCGTCTCCCGAGATCACCAAAGGTCGGCCTCAGCCACTTCACTAGGGACTCGAGCCCTCGTCTCCCGAGATCACCTAATGTCGTCCTCGGTCCCCTCCCACGCACTCAAGCCCTCATCCTCCCGAGGCACTCTTCAGTTCCCTCCAAAGGCATACCCTACAGCCCACTTTCAAGGCACAACCTTAGCTACTCACAGGGTGACCCGCCTGGCCAAACTAATCGGCCAAGCCCATCGTATTTTTTGTAGGAGATTTATGAAGAGAAGTCATAATAGAGCGAGGGGACCAAAGATTCCCACCGGAGCCGAGCATGGGCACTACTCCCTTTCACCTCGGAATTCTTCCTCGGCTTAGGTAGTGGGGGACTCTAGGTGCTCGGCTTGTGATTGCTACATCTCACATCAGGAGAGCTTGGCGAAAAACATCCTGACCTTGTATCACATTGCAGCAGTCCGTGTCGACATGCACTCATGAGCAATACATTATGACGAACAGTCCTCGACTCCGGACAACGAGTCTGGGGGAATTAAAGATCAACTCTTCCGAGATTCACCTAGTTTCCTTTAGTCGAAGACCTCACATCTTAACGATGTTTTTCTTGATTCACCTTGTGGGACGAGATGTACTCTTTTCTTGACCGAGGATTTTTTTCCCATCCTCATGGGTTTTTTCCTCGGCAAGTTTTTAATGAGGCATCCCCCATGGAGTGGGTCACACATTGACGGGGCTGTGGGAGGTTTCTTGTAGACGACAAATGAACTGCATATGATGACCTATTCATTCGTTCTTATGATGCTCGTTGTGCGCTGGACAAGGAACTGACGATGTACTTCGTTCAAGAGCATATCCTTTCAAGACAATGAGTAGATCAGTTTCTTGCACTTTGCCACTCTGGACAACGAGTCGACAGCACGCTTCATGCTGATGGGTGCAATTTCTTTCACCTTGCCACTCCGGACAGCGAATTGGCATTACATTTTAAACAGATGACATAGTTTATATTACTTCACCGTACTTGGGACAGCGAGTTGACAGTGCACTCTAGACAGCAAGGATGTCGGTGTCTTTTCTTGGTGGATTATTGTTCTACTTCCACTTCGCCTCGAGTTCCTCGCGGCTTGGGAAGTGGGGGGACTCATGATGGATACCCTTGATATGGGGTGTCCGGTCTTTATATAATATTAGTCAGGACGGTCCAGTCTGTTGGACCAACCTGTTAGTCATATATTAATTACTTATTTAGGGGCGACCCAGTCTGTTGGTCCGGCCCATTAGTCTTGAACCCAAACCCTAACTCCTATTTATACCCCTCTTCTTGGAAGAGGAAGGGGCATGCTCAATACACAATACAACACTAATCTTCTTCG